AATAACTACACTTTGAACATGAAGACTATTAAACTTATAAACTGAGATGTTCATAGGCCATTTGCTATCACCTTGCTGTCTGTTCTACATGAAAAGTTAATTATAGAGTACCATGCCATATCTAGATGTCGAACTCAAACACGATTCCAAATAAATCACAAACGAATGAACAGGTCAACCTTATACCTCTCATGCATATGATAAATATTCCTTATAAATGCAACTCTCCATAAACTCGATCCAGACATCCACATCATTAAGAATGGTAATGGCACTTACTGTGATCTTGATGACGAAGTGCCCATGTTAGTCTAAATACCTGTTAATACTGATACGTTTAATCATGGAATGTTAAAACGCCTGTCAACGAATATGCAAGTTTATGCAAAACGCTCTGTACAGATTAATGTATATGATACGAAAATGTAATACGGTACGAAACTACAGCTATGCGTGCACGTGTGAAAAAAAACCCGCCAAACTAGTACGCAAAGCGAGGATAGATGAAGTGAACAAACCATAAAGGCTAAAACTGTGCTTCAGTCCCCTACCTGAAATTTTTATTGAAACTATTAAAGGCATGGATTAGTTCACTTACCTTAAGCTCTTTTGAACGCTGAATGCTTCTTAGGCGAAAATAGGCCGTAGGTCCAGATGGCAAATGACAAATAGTCATGGCATCTAAATCGCAAAAGAATAGCAGGCCTTCATTTTCAACAAACATGTCAAGATTTTTTTGTAAAGCACAGTTTCCAACAGGTTGTTTTCAATTTCAAAGGGTTTTCTAGTAATAACTTTTGATGAGGTATCTCTTCTCTTTAGAGAAGTTCGCTAGTGGTAAAGCATAAACCTGAATGGATAATGTAGGAATTTCTTACACCGTATATAAAAGCCTAAAGCGGCAATAAACACACCTTATCACCTCTGAATAGAAGGAGCTAATTAACGATTCAGAAAAGTCTACTTTTGAACGATTCTCCCTAAACATAGAATATGAAAAAAAACCATGGCTGACGAAAGATCATACTTCCTATTCACTGACTATCGATACAGTAATATCTTGCACACTGAATTTTGGTTCTTACAGCTGAATACTGATACTCCTGAACATGGGTTGCTTAGGATCTAAAATGGTGAGAACTTTGTGCTAATATCTGCTTTGTGCTCAAATACGCATACGGTATCGATCAGGGTACCAATTACAAACAAACAATTAAATGTCTTCGTTGCCAGAATGAACAGTTCATTGACGCCATGGTACAGGGACTGTCGTATAGCAAGGAATGCGTGATTGAGGACTACAATTTACTATGAAGAATAAACTTGCTGAAAATTATCCGTTTGAACAATTAAGTGCCATCATAAAAAATAATTCGCTCTTACTGGGAATCCTCCGGTCTTCGTTGATAACGATGATGTCCGTAAATCCTTCTTCGATAGCACGCTTCACAACTTTCTTCATCGGACAGCTTTTCCGACTATACATATCTGAATTTGGAATGCAGTTGTGAAGTTCGTGACAAAACTTCCACGTCTCCTATAAAGTTAAAAGTAAGACGCGTAAGCGCAGCAGTACTGACAAGCGAATACGATCCAGTTGTAGGCCACTGGATAGAAAACACTATCTGAAAAAATTACTCGTTACCTCTCATGGTTTGACAAAACAGTTCAGAAAATAGACATGACAAAAACGCTCCTTTTATGGGAACCGAAAACGGGAAAGTCATTTTAAAAGCTAGCAAACCACAAGAGAAACAAATCTGCTCGCGAAAAGGAGTATGTGCATTGTCGAAGCACTTATTA